TCTCTCTCTCTCTCTCTCTCTCTCTCTCTCTCTCTCTCTCTCTCTCGCTATCCGATACTAACCTGTGAAGTTGGCGCCTTGATGCAGGTACCTCGAAGATGAAGCTGGAGCTATGGCGCCACAGGTAAGTCTCCCTGGCCTCCGCCAGCCATCTCTCTCTCTCTCTCCAACGCTATTCTGCTCCTACTAGCGCCCAGCGCTGAAGACTACCACTACTGCTACTAGCGCCCAGCGCTGAAGACTACTGCTAGCGCTAAAGCTACCCCTGCAGCGCCTGCCTTCTGCCTACCTGTGAAGTGCATGGGAACTCCCTATGTACTACCTCGGCCTGCCTCCTGACTGCCTCCGACTGCCTGCAGTTGCAGGGCGGGGCAGTCCAGGAGGCTGCTCTTGCCAATGCCAAAACGAGCCAGGGCCTGGCGCAGCAGCTCCTGCTGAGGCTGTCGTGGGAACAGGCCAAAAATAGCCTGTTCCTAAAACCCTGGTTTGGTGCCTGGATGTCAGGGCAGGTCGATCTTATGAGGGCCCGAAAGTGGCCCTCCGTTTCAGGCTGAAAAGACTCAGGGCCTGGACGGCCCTGTTTTAGGCTGAAACGACATAGGGCCTGCAGGCCCTCGTTTTCAGGCTTTCAGGCTGAAACGACACAGGGCCTGTAAGCCCTTATTTTCAGGCTTTTAGGCCGCGGACGCTGGTCGGGCCCTGCAGGCCCGTGTGGCTGCACAGTATGCCACAGGGAAGGAAAGACAGATGGAGGGAGAAAAATATCGTATGAACCAAGTCCCTCCTCTCCTCCAGGCTTCCCCACCTGAAACGGTTTTCACCTTAGCAAAATCAGATGCAGATTCCAGGGTTCGATCACTAGACCTTACCACATCCGTGTACAGTATCGAGTCGACCCCTGTGTGTTTGAACCCGTGACCTGTGTTTTGGTAGTTGACTGTTGTCCGTCGTAGGTCTGTGTAGCTGTAGGGGTTTGACCTGTAGGTCTGTCAAGTAGGGGTCACAGCGGTGTAGAGGTCGTAGCTGCTACAGTCCTGAAAGGTCAAGGTCGTAGCTGCTCCCAAAAGGCCAAGTCCACAGGCTTCCGGAAGGTCCGGAAGTGGCCTTTTGAGTGTTTGCTCACGTTAGACCAGAGGCAAGTGGGCAAGTGGTGATTCCAACCTTGCTTAGTCAGCGGTACCCAGTCCCAGTGTTACATCTTCGACGCCACACGGGCCCTACTGGACCCGACTTAGGGCCAGAGGGACACAGTAGGGCCTAAAGGCCCAGACTTGGGGTTACAGCAGGCCGAAAGGCCCAAACGACATTACCGTTTGGGCCTGGCGGCGCTCTTGAGGCTGCCGCCTGCCGGTCTGATCTGAACCGACGATCTCGACGGTTCAGATCATGGCCAGGCCTCACAGCATTGAGGCCAGCCTCTGCTCACCGGTACTAAAGACCGGTCCAGCCTCATTCTGAGGCATCGAGCACTGGGACGCTGCTAGAGCGCCAGTCGTTTCGGTTCAGCAGAGGAGCGTTAGCACCAGCGCTATTCTTAGCGCAGCGCGGAGCAGCAGCAGCAGCGCAGCTAGCGCAGCAGCGGCAGCGAGCGAGGAGCCAGGCAGCGGGCAGCCATAGCCGACTTCGGCTGCAGTCAGTTGCAACAGGCCAGGTACTCGGGAGTGAGGTCTTCTCCTCCCTCCACGGTCCCTGGCTCCCCTCCTCCTCACCTCTCTCCTCCTCTGTTCTCTTCTCTTCTTCTTCTTCTTCTTCTTCTTCTTCTTCTTCTTCTTCTTCTTCAGACTTCTTCTTCTTCTTCAGGCTACTTCTTCTTCTTCAGATTGGAGACTGGATACTAGTTGGACAGAGATCAGTGTTGGACTTCGGTGGTAAGAGGCTGTGGTACTTACCGGATTCGAGACTTGGAGATTGTTGGGGTTGATACTCGGCAGCATCACGGATTGGACACCGGTTGCATTAGGACTATGTACCTCCGACATTGGTGACCTATTGTCCACGGCATTTTGATCTTGTTCGATGACATTTTGGACTACCATATCAGTGCCCTACTGGATTCTATCTCGGTGACATCTGGGGCTACCTACATCTCCCACCTCCTTCGTCTCTCCTCCCACCTTTCATCTGTGTATGTGTGTACGGGGCCTGAGCATCGTCTATGATTGGCTCAGACCCCACCATCTCACGATTGTTTGTGTGTGGAGTGATATCTGTGTGAGTCAGTCTATGTGAGTCAGTCCATTTATCAGACTTCCGCTGCATACATGCTCATCCTAAATTGGTTGATCTCTTGGTTCTGCCCATACTTGTTGAAGTACTCACAAGTATGCAACAGTTTTGGTATCGGAGCAGACCAAACGATGGATCTGCTCACAAGGTAAGTCTGATTTAGGAATAGATTGCTTCTTCGATCTTCCAAATCAGCTCTGCATGACTATCGAGATTCAAAGTTGCAATTTTTTTTTCTTTTTCTTTTTTCGGTATTCTGTTTAATTCGGCATTCCGTTTCAATTCGGTATTCGGACTTTCAGTTCGGATTTCTGTTTTAATCCGGTATTCTGTTTAATTCAGTTTCCGATTAATTGGTATTCTGGTTAATCCGATATTCTGTTTAATTCGGTATTCTGATTCTAATTCGTTATTCYGTTTAAATCAGTATTTTGTTTTAATTCGGCATTCTGATTTCAAAATTCGGTTTTCCGTTTGTAATTCGGCATTCTGTTTTTAATCTGGCATTTCAGTTTTAAATCGGTATTTCCGTTTTATTTCGGTATTGGAAATTAGGGTTACGAAAATTTTCGGTTTTTCGATCAACTTGGGAATTTCGAACGTTTTGGAACCGTAAAACCGGAAATTCCGCGGACTCGCGGAAAATTAGGGTTGGGATCCGAAATTTTCGCGATTTTTTTTTTTCTTTCCCTAGTTTGAGAAATTCCGAATACGGACTCAGGCCGTTTAAAAAATCGGATTTTGTAGGTTGAAATTCCCGAAATTTCACGTTTTTCGAAAATTCGAGTGTTTTTCTTCCTAATTACCCGAAAATTTTTTGGCAACACAGTTCGGAATCGTTCCCTCAGAATTGCAACTTCCAGGTAGTTCACTAATCAACGGTGAACTCTTGGACCATAGATGATCTCAACGGATACCTAATCTTTCCACAACTTAAAATTCATTAATTATCATTATTGCAATAATTGTTTTATTGATTATTATTAAGAAGTATTAATTCGTTATTAATCATTAATTAAACTTTATTGATTATTAATTCGTTATTATTTTCTTATTACGAATTTTTGAGTTGTTTTCGGGGAAAGTTTCTTTTTCTGTTTGATTAGGTGTCTAAGTCTATAGTTGGGACAGGGACTGTATGCGAAATTGCTTGATCTGTTCTATCCCTGTGCCCACCCTCTCCCTCTTACTGTCTGTGACCTTTCGGATTAGCCAGCCTTCAGCAGCGGTTTTCTGATGCCAGCAGGGCAAGCCACCGATCAGCAGCCACGACGCAGCAAGAGGATCGCAGATCGCCAACAGCAACCGCAACCTGCAGTTCGACAGCAGCCACAGACCAGCACTCAGATGGCGAACACGATGAACAGCGGAACGTCATCCGAGACTTCGACATCTAGCAATGCCGAACCATTACCGGTCTGTCCGGTTCAAGGGCCGACTGAGTCCAGCACGGACTACATTCAGAGAGTGCAGACCTATACGGCCGCACTAACCCTTGCCAAGGAACGGCAAGATGCTGCCGAAGCAGACAAACAGCGGCTGGCAGCAGAAGCTGCAGCCCAAGCCCAGCGACAAGCTGAGGTGGAGCAGTTGGCGACCGACAAGCTCAACGCCGACAGTGCCGAGCTTCTGATCTCTAAACAAGATCAGTGGACAGCGGTACTCAACGGGATGCGTTATGTCCCCGTAGCAGGCGCCGAGCCGACGATAGTACAACATGAGAGACAAAACCTGGCAGACATTCTACTAAACACAATGCGCGCAGTCATCTGGAACAGCACCATGGGGGAGCTACATTCCAGGTCTACACGGCAGCTGCAGCACGATCTTAGCCATAATGTGAAGACGCTTGCAGCAGCCGTCAAGATCGCGGACTCCCAGCTGAAACAGATGGACACCCGCATTGCTGCTCTGAAGGCAAGGCCTTCCCAAGCAGCGCCAGGCTGCACGACAGACACGGCGAAGCAGCTCAACGAGCGCATCGACCATGTCGTCAATCTCATCGGCGAACAAGGTGCTTTCACTGGTCCGGACACGATCAGCAGCACGGTGGCCGCCATCAAGACGGACATCACCAAGCTGCAGACAAGACTGGACGCCGCTACAAAGAACTACAAGATGCCACACTTCAACATCAGCAAGTTCGACGACTACAACAAGACGGACGCCTTGACATGGTGGCAAGGCTTCCTCACGGAAGCATCCTGCCGCACTGTCCCGACTGAAGACATGATGAAGGCGCTCTACCTACAACTGATTGGAGGAGCACAGGCATGGATGAACCATCTTGCGGCCACCAAGCAATGCACCATCGCCGAACTCCACACGCACATTACGTGGATTAAGTTCGAGCAACTATGGTTCACTCGATTCATGGTCCGCAACGTCGTGAAGGTGGCCATGAACGAGGTGTACACCAGCTCACAAGGAAGCATGCCAACTCGAGACTGGACGATCAAGTGGCAGAAGATAGTGACCACACCAGGCTTCGATTTGAGTTTTCCAAACCAACGATCCGAGTTCTTCTCGTGATCGTGCGCAGGACTGCGAACGACACTCGGCAATGAGTACGATTATGCCTCATTCCAGACTACTCTGGATCGTGCGAACCTGGTCATCCAAACGGATGACAAGGCCGCTAACGAACCGCAGTCCCAGCCGCACTATGTGGCTAAGCAGGGCTATCAACAACCGGCACACAACAATGCCGCGATTTCCGATGAAACAGTCGATCTCCACGCTACAGCAGCATCCTCGAGTGATGGAGGAACTGTCGCAGCGCTCCCGCCGAAGCGTCCCAAGAGAGTTCGGAAGAACAAGGCAACATAAGCGACGACATCGACGGGAACTGGGCAGCAACCATGGACGACGTTCAACATAACCAAGGAATTATTTGATCTTCGTCAACGGTACGGATATTGCCTTTGGTGCAATGGTGTCACTCACTTGATCGCACAATGCGCCGAAAAGGGCAAGGCACGTGTACCCCGTTTAGCGAACTCGGGAAACTGAGTTGTGCAAGGAGAGAGACGACGTCTCTCCTCACTCGGCCGGAACTGGTTGCCTTGCTAGCAACCGATGTCACTACCGGGGAGCATGCGTTAGTCGCTGATTCTCGTGTTACGTACGAGGATTATGCCGCCCAACTGGTACCACCATTAGACCAGCCTAGCCACGTGCACTTAGATTGCGTATGCGCAGCCTGTACACCGTCGACAAGTGATCCGGTCAGCTTGCCACTGATTTTCGAGGACTCGACGGCGTGGTCAAGACTTGAGGAGCTTAACCTGCTCACGAGAGAGGACTTCGCTTGGATGCCTCTACCCTCAACCAGAACCTTGCCAAGGCCGCATTGCAACGACTTGATGGCAAATCTACGCTCCTATTTGCACGCTACAGTACCAGCTCCGTTGATGGACGATGGGGTAGCGGTTGTCGATCTCCGCTCCTATCTTGCGAAGATTGACCGCGAGTACGCCACCCAAAGGTACGCCAAAACCGACGCTCCTTTGCTCTACATCCGCATTCAAATCGGAAAGGCAACCTGTAGTGCCTTGATTGATTGCGGAGCGTCTCGCAACTTTATGAGCCAAGCCTTTATGGCCTCCGCAGGCCTTGGCCCGCGCGTTCGAATGAAGACACAACCTACGCAAGTTACACTCGCGGACGGCCGCACACAAAAGTCAATTGACCGACGCACAAAAGTCAATTGACCGACGCATCGACAACGTTCCGGTATACTTTGTGCCACTTGCGTGCGAGCCGGTGTCTTTTGACATCCTCGACACCAAGTTCGACATGATTCTAGGCATGTCTTGGTTGCGTAGCGCCGATCATCCGGTGAACTTTCATGACCGAACCGTTCACATCCGTGATCGGGACGGAGTGTTAGTCCCATGTACGGTCGCGACCCCTTACACTTCGATTGCTTGTCACGTGGTTTCCGTTGCGAGAATTCGCGACGCCATAGCTCGGAATGACGTCGAGGAGATGGGCCTTGTATTCTTGCATGCGCTCCCCTCACCAGACTGACCAGCCGCGTCACCGCCGGACCCACGCATTTCTCACCTCTTGGACGAGTATGGAGACGTCTTCGAGGCTCCCACCGGAACGGTTCCGGATCGGCCCATACGTCACGGGATCACTCTCGAGACTGGCGCCGTCCCTCCGCGTGGATGCATTTACCGCATGAGCGAAGAGGAACTCGAGGTGCTTCGCGCAAAACTCGACGACCTCCTTGACAAGGGCTGGATTCACCCTACTTGTTCGCCTTATGGTGCCCCTGTTCTCTTCATCGGAAGAAGAACAAAGATCTACGGTTATGCATCGATTATAGAAAACTTAACGCACAAACCGGCAAGAACGCCGGCCCTCTCCCTCAGATTGATGATCTCCTTGAGCGGTTAGGTGGCGCGATGTACTTCTCGAAGTTGGACTTGAAGTCGGTTTACCACCAAATTGAAATCCAGCCTTAAGATCGGTACAAAACCACGTTCAAGACGCGGTACGGGCACTTTGAGTAGGTTGTCATGCCATTTGGCCTCACCACCAATGCCCCCGCGACTTTCCAAGCAGCTATGAAGACTGAGTTTCGCGACTTGCTCGATCGCAGCGTCCTCATCTACCTGGATGACATCTTCGTTTATAGTAGGACGTTGGACGAGCACATCGTACACCTTCGCGCTGTTTTGGATCGTTTGTGACTGGCCAAGTGCAAAGCGAACCTCGACAAGTGCGAGTTCGCCAAGCAGGAGTTTGAGTACTTGGGTCACTATGTCATGCCGAAAGGCATTCGTCCCTTAGCGGACAAGATCCAAGCGATCGTGGATTGGCCGGAACCCCGTTGCACGACGAACGTATGCTCTTTCATGGGTTTGGCTGGATATTATCAGCGATTCGTCGAGTCATACTCGAAAGTGGCCGCTCCTTTGTCCAGACTTCAGTCCCCAAAGGTGCCCTTCGAGTTCGACGACGCAGCCCGTGGCGCGTTCACTATGTTGAAGGCAGCGATGCAAGCCGCACTTGCCCTCTGTATATACGACCCCACCCTTCCCACCCAAGTGACTACGGAYGCTTCGGGATACGGTATTGGTGTGGTGCTGGAACAGTTTCACGAGGACGGTTGGCATCCGGTCGAGTATTTCTCCCAAAAGGTGCCTCTCGTCAACACTCTCGACGACGCTCGAAAGAAAGAGCTACTCGCGTTCGTCACCGTTCTCAAACGGTGGCGCCACTTTCTTCTCGGCTATCGGCGTTTTAAATGGAATACGAACAACAATTTGTTGACCTTTTATAAAACGCAGGATACGGTCACTAGCACGATCGATCGATGGATGTATTACATCGACCAGTTCGACTTTGACCCGTGCCACATTCCCGGTCCCGCCAATCGAGCTGCGCATACTTGTTGAAGTACTCACAAGTATGCAACATCCAGTCTCACTTAGTTGAAGTACTCACAACAAGTAACCGCTGCATACATGCTCATCCTAAA